TTAACTAGTTGTACAAGTCATAAGAATGTATCCAACATGTTTTAGAAAAGTCCAAGAAGTTATGTAACATGTTTTGGATTGTCTAATGACTTATTTGTTCCAAAAATTGTCCAATGAGTTATTTAACATGTTTTAAATTGTCCAATGACTTATTTGTTCCAAAAAATTATCCAAGAACTTAATTATTCCAAACATTAAAGTTCATTGGATTTTTTTAGACTTTTCCCATTATTTAAAGAGAAGTCAATATAATATAGGCATGGGTAAATGGTTTGAGTAACGGCTTTTAAAAGTTTTATGCATTGTATGAAGAATTTTGTAAATTGAATTGACTTTTATAGAAAGTTGAAACATTTCACTAACAATTTTGTAACTCTAATGTTCAAGTTAAAATTAAAAGAGTATAGGCAGGATCAAATGAAAACCGTCTAATTTTTAAAAACCGTATAAACTAATTTCGACCAATAAAAAAATTTCTTTTTTTCTTAATTAAATTTAATCATTAAGGGTAGATTTGTCATTTACATTGTTTTTTATTAAATATGAAAGTTATTAATAAATCTTAATTAAGGTAACATAATAAAAGAAATTTATAATTAGTAATATTTAAATTAGAATTTTAAAAATTGAATATTGTTATTTGGTTTCTCGGTTTATTAGTGATAATAATATGAAAAATCGAAAATTATTATATTTATTAATCCACGAAATCAGTAACATCTCCAAACAAAGATTCATGAACCGGTAAAAATATAATCAGTTGAGATTCATGTTAGATTTGTTCATGAAAACGTTCATTGAGAAACTTGTTTTATGAAACTTTTGGGGATGAACTGGTTGAATAATATAATATTTTTGCATAATCTTGTTTTCTTATCAACAATATTTGATGAAATTGTTTCATTTTTGTTTTATTTTTTTGGATGATTTTATTCACTTAATGGTTAACAAAACATGTAATGGTAAATGCATTGACTTTATGAAACGTGTTCGTATTGGAAGAAATTGGCTGATGAAATGGGTGCATGAAGAAAGTGAAATCATTACATAATTGATAAAAAAAAAATTGTAATTAGCGAAAAGTGAAACCATTTCATTATTACGATGAAACGGATTCATCTACCAATAACAGTGAAACCATTTCATAATTAGATTGAAACGGATCCATCTACCGGAAACTTGAAAATGACAAATGTCTCATCTAGCATWACATTGATTTGTGTATTGATGAAACTGTGAAACCATTTCGTTCACGAAATGTAGTAGTAATTTTTTTTTTATTATTATTCAAAAGGTTTCATTATGTTAAAGTGATTATAGTGTGTTTTATTTTTATTGTTGATCTATTTTAATGATGAATGTTATTTTTTTATAATATTTGAACATAAAATTAATATATTATTTTACAAATGATTTTGTTTCATTAATATTACGATATACATGATATGGTTGCTATTAATATTACCACTACCAAAGTTACGATTTTGCCCTTTTTAGGATTATAAAAAAAAATATTTTTTATTTTTTTAAATTTTCTAATATAACCTAAACTAATCTTGACCATTGATCAAGAAAATAGATGGATGAGATTAGTTTACATGGTTTACACAAATGAGGGCGGTTTTCATTTGATCGCTCTTCTCTCTCTCTCTCTCTCTCTCTCTCTCTATATATATATATATATATATATATTTATATATATAACTCTAATGTTCAAGTTCAAGTCAGATGAGAAATATACCCTATATATATATATATATAGGTTGTAAAAGAAATATACCCTATATATATATATATGTTTATGTATCGTAATCGTCTCTTAATTTAAAATAAACTTGAGGTTTGATCTCGGTGTCACACCTTTTTGGGCATTGGTAAAATACCCATACTAGTCTTTTCATTCAACAAATTTTGTTAACCCATTAAGGTGGTGTTTGTTTTTTAAGATGTGCTGAAGTCTGATTTCACTTCTGAGTTATAAGAGGTGGTGCTGAAGTCTGAAATCTGAATCAGTCAGACTGTTTGGTTTTACGTCTGAAGTCTGAAATATGAATCAATATAAACACGAAAAAAGTCTCATAACGACTAGAACTAATATTCATATTGCATTAATTGTGTCGCCATCATCCTTTGCTCATTGGTTTGATCATACTCAGAAAATAACTCATATATAGGAGAGATCGATTTGTAGAGATCGTTTTGGATAGATCGGTAGCTTGAGACCGAGCGAGAGATCGATATGGTGTCTAGATCGTATGATGTGGGATAGATCGGTATGATTTGGTAGCTGGAAATCAAGCGAGAGAACGAGAGATCGATATGGTGTGTGAATAAGAGCCCATTAAGAGTTTAGACTACCACTTAAAAATTCAGAGGACAATAAGAGCTTTTCAGCTCTTATTTTCAAAAAAATCAAACGGTCTGAAAATAAAAACGTCTGACCGATTCAGACTTAAGAGGTATTAAGAGCTTTTTTTTTTAAAACAAACAAGTATGATGACACTTTTGTCTTTTTACCCTCGAATAAAAATATAAATTACAATATACTCTCTCTTGTTCCTCTATCACCTCATCTTCATCTTTATCTTTATCCATTACGTTCCTCTTATTCATCCTTCATGTTCATCTTCAACAACACAAACAAAAAATCAATGTTCATCTTCAAGAAAACAAACACAAGCAAATATTGAATTCCATTTTCATAAGTTCAAATACAAATCGAGCTCGTCTTTGAGAACACAAAGACAAGAAAAATCCTAAACTAATACAATCTTCAAATCCTAAACTAAATTAAAAACCCCTTTAATATCTAAATCTTTCAACAAAATACATAAACATTAATAGGATTTTGGAATGTGAATCAAAATCATGAACATGAAATTAGTATAAAAACAAACTCAATGAGAAGAACAATGATCAAAATCCATCAAGAAATCAAGTCCCATACACTAAAAAGCACGATTTTAGCCCAAAACAACCAAAATCAACCGATAAAATGAAGAAATTCACATAAATCAGCCCCTTATATGATTGATTCGATCAATAATCAATCAAAAAATGAAGAAATCGATGGTTCCGTAGACCAACATGAGCTGGCATGTCCAAAAAAATAGGGAGAAAATGATTTTTTGAAAACCGATACAGATTCAACTTCAAGTACTTGTCAAAACCCACTTCCAAGAGTATCTTCATGAAACATCCAAAAGAGAAGATAACATCCAAGGGTTTGGTTTGAATTTTTCAATTAAATGAGTTTTTAATTAAATTTATAATCTTCCGGTCTATATAAAAAAATGGATTTATACTCATGAAAAAGTCATGAATAAATTAAAATCTCATTTAAGGTTATATATCTTAAAAGCTCATTTAACCTGTACATAGATAAGTATATATGATATTTTATTTTTGATATAATATGATTTTTTTTATTAACCTGGATATCCAACCCGCTATGCGAGCCGACTAATCCTAGAGCGACCACCTGCTTTGCAGATAGCCCGGAGTCACCGCATTTGAACCTCCGTGCCCACAAGGGGATTTTTAGTCCTCCTTGGATTTGAATCTATGACCTCCTAGTACTTTTGACCTTTGGAGTCAAGTTCAAACCAATCACGTACCACCCTTGTGGTTTATAATATGATTTTTTATGTTTTAACGTTATATGTTTTGTTAATAGACAAATAAAAAAAATGGCAAAATGATTAAAAATGCCCCGTAAGATGACAATGTTAATAGAATACGGTAAAAAGAAGAACTCAAAGCGTACATTTTTGCATACCAAACGTATCAGAAGTAAAATAAGCACGTTTGAGGGTTTGAGGGACCGTAGTAACGTTTACTACTAAACCATATTTCATAACGGGGGGCCACTCTGTAATTACTGAAACCTTGAGGTAGTCCTATAATTACATTTAAAAACTTGGAGGTCATATACATTGATTCTACTCAATTCATATAAACGGAAAAGTCAAATAGTTATTATAATAATAATATATATTTATAGAGAGAGAGAAAGAAAGAAGTAGCCGTTTAACTCTTTGTATGCGTTTTCCACTTTTACCATATCTGACCGTTGGGGGTTCACCATACTTGATGTAGCATCATCTTCTTCTGCTCACCCTTCTCAACCCCACACCCACGCACCCACACAAGATGGTCGCAAAAACCCCACAAAAGCTCAAGAAGAAAATGGTGGCTCCACTTGATCCCATTCAACTCAGAGAAACTGTGAATAAGGTATAATTTTGAGATCCCATTTCTGTATATCTGTTTTCTGGTATGGATGCTGTTTGATCTTCATGTTGAGATTTTGTGTTTGGTGTTGTTGAAGGTGGAGAAATGTATGGCTCGATTGCAAGAGCTTCAGTACATTACAGGTGGGACGAAAGGTGTGAGTCTTAGCCCTGCAAGTACCAGAGGATACTTAAAAACTAGCCTCAGGTGCAAACAAGAATCACTCAGGTAAATTTTGATTTGGGAAGTTTTTCGAATCAGTTCAGCAATCTATCAAATGGGTATTTGATTAACCTAACTTTCTCTCTCCAATTTCCAGAACCAGAAACGGGAATGGTCAAAAATCCCCACCTGGCAAATTACCCACACAAATAGGTTAGTGGGGTGTTGTTTCCTGTGGTTGATTTCATGTGTTTTTATGGATTGTTTTTGAGTTTTGGTGTTGATTTTGATTTTGATGAAGGGGAGTGGAAGAGGATGTCATTACCAGCAATGCTTTTAGGAGAAACAGTTGGGGAAATACTCCAAGCAAGTCGATTTGCCAGAGAAATCGTTGCTGCTGTTGAAACCAAAACCCAAAACACCACTGATCCAAAAACTCCGGTGACTAATTCACGCCGGAATTCCAGGTTGAACCCGGAAACAACTGAGCTCCGGGCACGGAGAAAGAGAGAGAAGCAGATAATCCGTTCAGATCCACATTCCCCTCTTCTTCAAAGAGCCAAATCACGTATTAATTTCAAAGTCTCTGGTTCACCACCAAAAAAGGAAATCGAGAAAGAAAACTGTCGGTTTATGGCGAATAGAGTTTCACCGAAGAACAAACCCTGGGCTAAAAAGACTGTAATCTTCCCAAACCCACTCTTCCATTCATCGAACAACTCACAAAACCAAAGGTTTTACAGAACAAAGTCGCCGGTGATCCCCAGAATCCGGCAAACCACCCCTCATAAGTTCTTGATTAAGACGCCGCCCAGCAAGGCAGCAACGTCTCCCTCCTCCGTGGTTAAGTTTCAAGTGAAGATTAGAAGTCCAACAATTTGTGTGTCTCCGACCAGACCCACCACCGCCAGTGCTAAGAAGAAGTCGATATCGCCGCCTAAGAAAGTCTCGACGGCGGCGAAGCTGAGGAGGTCGTTTTCGCCATCGAGATTGGCAAGTAGATTGGTTTCGCCATTGAAGAGTAGGAAATCATGTGTTGAAAGGAGTATGGATGGGATGATGATGAACATGATGAGTGGATTGAAACAGCGGCCAGCTTCCACAACTCCAATGCATTTGTCAAGTCGGAGAATTTAAGAATTCATTCTTTTAGATGATATTTTCTTAATGTCAAATATGATTTGTGTGCCTCCTTACATTTCTTTTTTACTTATAAATATCAAATAACAATTTATATGTTTGTTAAATTATTTAAGTTTTTTTTAAATAATTATCGATGTTTAAGTCCTATTTTGGTTAATTCTATATCTGTATTTTCAATAGAATCTTTAAAATAAGAAAACGTAAGGATTTTGGATAATTTTTGTTTTAACAGATCTTTTAAAACTTATTAAAAATGAAGAAATTAAGAAAGAGAGAGTGTAAAAATCTTCAAATTTAGAGATTCTCACAAAAATAAATTATCATGAAAAAAGAAATTGTATTTTATCTATAAAAAATCTTGGAATTAAATGTTTAACAGAGAAAAATAATATTTTAATAAAACAATAAATATTGTAATATTCAAAATAGAGAAGCTCTTATAATTGAATACAAATTTTTGGAGATCTTAATTCTTTATTTTTGAAGAATATATTAAAGATATTCTAATATCTTAAAGTTAAGAGTTATACAAATTTCTAATAGAGACTCAAACGATAAGTTATAAAATTCAAAGTTTTAACTTAAATTCACAAAGAAAGCCAACATATTTTTGTCTAAAAAATAACGCTTTTTATTAATAATCACATTCGTTGTAATACAAAATTAACACCTCCAACAACCAAATTGGAGAACCAAATAAGTTTATGGTGAGCGAATAGTTTAAATTCGTTACAAATAAAGAGTAAACTTGACTCGGATTTGATTGTTCATGTTTTTCATTTTAGCACGGTTTTGGTCCTTCCGTCTAACGTTCGTTCACTTTTTATGTTAACTCCAATTAAATGAAGAGTATTTTAGTCAATTTTGATATTTTCATAATTCCCTATTGAAAAAATGTAACATATTTTAATATTATAAAATCTAAAACCCTAACCCTTTCGTAATAGTTCATCTTCATCGATGACACCCTCTTTTTTTCCCAGGGTTGTTCATGATGAAAATCCGCGTAGATTGGAGGGATGAACACAAAAGATCAATTGTAAGGACAAACGCACTCGAGAGTTGATTGGAAGGAGGAACACACAGGGTTGCAGTAATCAAGGGTTTTGTCGAAGTTGGAGAGAGATGGGACCATCTTCCTCTTCGGCAGTGGAAACCATGTGTTTTGTTCATCTTCATAATTCGTTTGTAGATATCCATCTTCGTTGTCTTCTTTTGTTCATCTTCATCCATATTTGTTTTCGTCATATGCATCTTGTTTGGTGGTTTGTGGGAGGAAAGAGGAGGGTTTGATTTGGAACATATTCAAAAACCCTAACCCTTTCAACGTGTTCTTTTGCATCAAAGAGGAGGGTTTGACTTGACAACGGTTTTTTATTCCTCTACTTCCAACAACTCCACGCAAAAAAACCTGTGGCTCCAACAATGGTGAAGCAAATCCACAAGAGGTTAAGGAACAGGGGGAGTGGCTATGAGAACAGTAGAAGATGCAGATGCCAAAAGGAGCAACAAAGCAACGATTTCAATCATCTTTGGTTTCAGTTTAAACTATTTGTTTTCATCATCTTTAATTTAGTTTTTTATTATTATTTTAGAGTTCGGTTTATAGTTTTAGGATTTTGATCTTAGGTTTGTATCACAAAGTTTTCAAGAGTAAATTACATTTTTGGTCTCTTTATGGTTGTCACTTACCATCAACTCATGTCTTTCTTTTAAACTACTTACAATTTTAGTCATTGTAGTTGTCAATCTATTTCGATTTTGGTGCTTGTGACTAACTTTTGTTAGAAAAAGAAGTAAACTACAAATCTTGTCCTCATAATTTGTTGAAAATAACACTTGTCATTTTCGTATATTCAAAATTACAAGATAGCCAAATATAGTTTGAGAAAACCTTTAGTTTTGATCTATCCCTCTAGAGGTGTTGAAAAATTCATTAAAAAATGAAACACATTTTCATCCTTGTAACATTATTTCAATTATACAATTAAAAATACAAAAACCAAAATTGTAGTTTACTCCCTTTTACTTTTTTTTAATGTTAACTAGTATTTGATATTGTGTGTTGTGCGATAACAATATTTTTTTTTTAAAAATTATTGAAGTTGGTTAAATGAGTCGATGATCACATTTATATATTAAATTGATAAAAATCAATATTACAATTTATATATGAATCCACCTTATCATTATTTCATACAAACCTTACAACCAATCACATCTATCCATTTTTATAATCAAATGTCATGATTAAAATAATTTTAGTAAAGTAAAATAATAAAACCAAAAAGATTATTATTATTATTATTATTATTATTATTATTATTATTATTATTATTATTATTATTATTATTTTCTTCAATAAAGGGCAAAACGGGAACAAATTTTAAACATTTGAGATCATTGAAATCTCCTTTCCCGGAATTAAATTCTCTTTCATAAAAATTATTATTAATCAACAGTAACGAATGAAACATTTTGAAAACTTAATGAAACATTTTGAAACTAAATAATATAATTTCATTATTGAATTTTGTTTCATTAAAGAAACATTTTGAAAACTGAATGGAACATTTTAAAAACTAAATAATATGATTTCATTAGTGAAATTGGTTTCATAAATACAACATTTTGAAAACTGAATAAATATTTTGAAAACTGAATAATATGAGTTAATTAGTGAAATTGGTTTCATCAATAAAACATTTTGAAAATTGAATAACATGATTTCATTAGTAAAATTGGTTAAGGTTCCTAACCAAAATGAAATTGGTTTTATTAATGAAACTAAATATGGTTCATTCAATGGAGCATTTTGAAAACTGAACATTATGATTTCATTAATGAAATTAGTTTCATAGTTCCTAACCAAAATGAAATTAATTTCATGAATGAAACATTTTGAAAACCGGATAACATGATTTCATTAATAAAATTTGTAAGAGAATCAATTTATTCATGAATTTTACAAATGAAACAAAACAATATATTTAAAATCTGAAAAATATCACAACTATAATATTAATAAATCTGGAAAGATTTGTAAATTGAAAAAAATACCGATTTCTTTTGTTATTATGACAATGAAATAGATAAATTCCTAAGAAAAAATTGATTATAAATAAACTCTGAAATTGACGTATTATTTTTATTTAATAAAAAAAATACAAATAGTAATGTTAGTAAGTATCTATTAAAAATTTACCGAATTAAAGATTATTATAAAAACAATTTGATTGATCATTTCTTAAAAAAAAAACCTCTAATCTATATAATCTTCCCGATTTAGACACAATAAAAATATTACTAAAATCATGTATATATATATATTATATGTTAATTTTAATAATTATTTTATATATGTGTTATATTTATTTATTTTATATATCTATATATATATATATATATTATATGTTAATTTTAATAATTATTTTATATATGTGTTATATTTATTTATAATTAGTTTTCTAAGTGATATTAAATGTAATAAGTACTTTATTTGTTAATGTGAGGACTCCATGATAGTTTTAGTCACCATGGAAACATCTCAATACCGGTGCCTCCAATATTGAGTCTATAGTAAAGGTTTCCCAAATGATGCAATTTAAGAAGTCAAATGATCAAGTGATCCATGTTCCAAATAATAATTGAAGTTATATTTCAAAAGAAAACTAAAGTTCAATCATATTTAATAAGCACAAAGGGAATATGGACCGATGCTTTCATAATTTATCACAATTTATCCGAATTAAAAAGTTTTATGCAAATGGCTATCCTTGTATAAAGTGAGATATGATATTCATACCTGAATAGTGGTAGATGGAATACCACGAGTTTAGGACGACCTTAATGTTGATTCCAGTCACCCATATTTACCTTATGTGAAACAATAACTCACTACCACTTATACAATAACCAACATATTTAGTTGAGAAAATAAGACTTAAACCATTGTTTCTACTCCCTCTTATAACTAGAGCCGTCCTAGACAGATTTCAGTTTGATTGGTATCAGTTTCTCATATAGAACAAGTCGGATATGCACAAGGTACAAACAACAACTGCAGTTCAATCACTGCACATATCAGCTTCTGTCCCTCTAAACTTTTGATGTTTTATACATACTTAGAAACAAAATGAAGCATTAAATTCTAAATGAAAGTTGTAGGAACATACTCTAGGAACCTAATAGCACAATATTCACCTTATTTGGAGCAATGACCACTTTTCTTTGAATTTTACAAATATAAAATACAAATTTCGAGTTTTATATGATCAGTTTTGGAAACTCAAGGTTTTGAGCCATTTAAAATCAGATCATGTATTGGTGTAAACGACAAAATTGTAGCAGACATTCAAGTTTTCCAATGGTATATATCACACATCTCATTTGGACTAAAGAATGATCTTATACGAAATTTACAAACAAGATGTAATTTCTGATTTGCCCCTGTGCAACAACAAATTTTAAAACCAAACCGACTGGGTTTCACTCAATTCAATTTGCAAATAACAGCAATGTTTTATCCTCATCCTAATTGACCTACTAAGCATAAAATCAAGACACTTTAACCTCATCTCTACAATTCACCATGTGAGCCCTAAAAAATTAGCTAAAACCTCAAAGTAATGCATATTCATATCAAAAGCTTAATAAACCTTGGTTCAATGGTGATTTCAATGTCAAACATGCTGATTTATCCTCAATCTTCTCCCAATTTCAAGCCTAAAACAGAAATTCAAACTCATATATTGAAACATTGATCTAAATAGAATTTCAACTTAGGAAGGATTAGAAATTATACATATACCTTTGGATGTTTAACCCTTATTCTTCCAAACTCCAATTAATTTGATGATTCATTACTTGATCTAAGTTTGATGAAGAAAGATCTTGAGGAGATGAGAGAAACCGTACATGAAGAAGAAGACGTTAGGTTAAAAATGATTTCATGAACTTTGGGAGTATTTGTATTTTTAAATATCCCATTTTGGCCCCTAAGTCTAGTTTCTCAAGTTTGTACCCTAATAGGAATTTGGTTAACATTTTAAGTTAAGT